CCCCGAGCTATTCTGAAATATATATATATATATATATATATATAAAAACACATATATATATAAATATATATATATATAAACATATATAAATATATGTTATCACCTCCCTGTGCAATAGGACACTAGAATCTATTCTTCCTGTCTAACTAACTTCATACCCACTGACACAGTTCTCCCCACCCTTCCACCTCCAACCTTCCCCAGCTTCTCCACTCTACTCTCTACTTGTATGAAATCAGGTAGAGATTCCACGTAGGCATGACATCATGTGGCATTTGTCTTTCCATATCTGGTTTATTTCACTTAACACAACATCCTCCAGACTGGACCCATACTTGTATTCTTGGACTCTACCGTGCCTAACAGCTAACCTAACAGCGAGCACTCAGGAGCTCACGCTGAGCTCACGCTGAGCTCACGCTGTGTTTCCTGAGCTCTGCTGGTGCGTGCAGACCACATGGAGAGACGCAACACAAAAGGCCAAGAGGGCAGGGATGCAATGGGAGGAGGTACATATGCACTCCTCGTTTTCGTCAAGGTTAGATTAAAGCACTCATTTCCTTTGTTGTGTGAAGACAGCAAAGGCAGAGATATCGATAGTATTTGTTTTGTAGTTTGGTTTTTTAGTTTTTGCTATAGGGCAACACTTTTCACCAGAAAGAGAGAGAAAGGGGGGAAGTTCTCAGAAATCACCCCTGCCCACCCCCGCAGGAATGGCCACACCACCATCCCTTTCCTCTTCTCTTGGGATTCTGGGCATACGTGCGTGCACACATGTACACACACACACACACACACACACACACACACACACACAAGCACACATCCAGATGATTTTCCAAAACTAGGTCCAAAACTCAAACCCCAATGTCACCTATGTGGAACCCGGCTGCCTTAACCTCCTCGCCACCTGCTGGCCCAGATACTGATAGTGTTTCGAAGGTGGAAGGACCCTTAAGGATTCCTTAAAGAGTTTAAATGAAAACTCTTCGTCTTACAGATGAAGGTCTAGATGGATGTTGGGGCTTGCCCAGTATCATCTGTGTACGCCCTAGGTCACCATGACTAAGCTATCTATTTTACTCTGAGTTTTTCATTTCTTCGACTCTACCAAAATGCTAAGCCAGTTATCAGTAACACTGTTTCCAAAAGTCATGCAAAATTTCAGAATGATTAAAAATCACACAATGCCGGCTTTATCTTGTAAATAGTGATCTAAAATTAAAATGCTGAGGATATACTTAAATAAGGCAAAGATGTTTATGTGGTCTGGATTTTTCTTATCACGATAGACAACTTGAGTCTTTAAAAGATGATTGCTCAATTTATAAATGCTCTTCACAATATATAATTCTGTCATAAAATAAACTGTGCTCAAATGACACACTTAATAGGCTCTCTCATATCATTACTCCTTTTCTTTTTTTTTCTTTTTTATATTTTTGCAATAGGGCACATGTACTCATGAGAGAGAGATAAAGAGAAAGATCACCCCCCCGGGTAATGGTCACACTGCAACCCCTTCTCCTCCATTCTCCTCTAGGGACTTGGGGCATGCATGCACAAGTGCCCAGGGTAATTTTCAAGTCACTGGGTCCTGGACTTGAACCGTGGTCAGCCATGTGGGGATCCAGTGCCTTAACTGCCACGCCACCTATTGGTCCCACATCTCTCCTTTCTAAACAATCTTTTTATAAGTTCACAAAGCATTGCACATTATTGAAGTTACATTTCAAAATCTTACTTTGGGAGCAGGCAGGTAGCATGGCAGTTAAGGGTGCTGGGCTTCCACATAGCTGACCACAGTTCGAATCCCAGATCTGGTAGCTTGCTTACTCACTTTCTCTCACTCACTCACTCACTCACTTTCTCTTTCATTCTGTCCCTCTCTGGTCAAATTAAAATAAATAAATAAATTAAATTAAATTAAACAATTATAAAAAAAATCTTACTTGGCAATATTATTCTTCTCTGGAAATGGTGGATATATACCCACATGCTGGAAAAGAGAGTGTTTATATCGAATACAAATTTGCTTCTTTCGTTGTGCACAATTTTCCTGGGGAAAAAAAGGAAATAATCTTCTGTTAAAAACTGTTTAAAAATGTATTACATTTACTGGGACCAGCAGTTGGCATAATGGCTATGTTGCTAGACTCCCATGTAGTCAACCACAGTTCAAGTTCTGGACCTGGTGGCTTAGAACTCACACCAGGTACGTGTGTATGCCCAGGCTCCAGAGAAGAGAATGGAGGAGAAGGGATTGTGGTGTGGCCATCCCCCCTGGGGGGTGATTTCTTGCTTTCTGTCTCTCAGTTTCTCTGTGTCTTTCTGGCAAGCACCCTATAGCAAAAACCTCCCCCCACCCAAATAAAAAGTATTATACTTATTGATGGCAGAATTTTTTTTAAAAAATTTGCCTAAGGGCACATGTACTTACTGGAGGGAAACACAGAAACAGAGAAAATGAGAAAACACTCCCCAAGGGTGATGGTTACACCACAGTCCATTCTCCTCTATCCCTCCCTCCTTCTGGGATTTTGAGCACTCGCATTACATGCGGCTGCATATTTATCAAGCCAACTGGTCTGGGACTCAAATCATGTGGTTGGTCATGAGGGATCCGGCCACCTTAACACAACCATGGGCAGGCCTCTGTGGCAGAATTTTTGTATTAGGGGACCAGCCGGTGGCGTCATGATTACATTGCTGGACTCTTGAGTCCCAGGTTTGGTGGCTTAAAACTCATGCCAGGGGGACCAGCAGTTAGTGTAATGGCTATGTCGCTGGACTCCCATGTAGTCGACCGCGGTTCACGTCCCAGACCCGGTGACTTAAAACTCATGCCAGGTGCGTGTGCGTGCATGCTCAAGATCCCAAGAGGAGAATGGAGGAGAAGGGATTGCGGCATAGCCATCCCCCGTGGGGGGTGATTTCTTGCTTTCTGTTTCTCTGTCTCTGTCTGTCTGGTGAACACACATGCCCTATAGGAAAACCCTCTCAAAAAAAAACAATAAAAAAAAAAAAAAACTCATGCCAGGCATGTATGTGTGCATGCCCAAAATCCCAAGGGGAGAATGGAGGAGAAGGAATTGCAGTGTGGCCATACCCCTGGGGGATGATTTCTCACTTTCTGTCTGTCTCTCTGGCGAGAACAAGTGCCCTATAGCAAAATTTTCTCTACAAAAAAAAATTTAAAAAATGAGTTTTTACATTGGTTCTTGCTACATTTTTATATTAATATTCCAAAATTTAAACAAAACATTTAATTCTTAGCTTTTTCTTCATAAGAATCAGAGAGCAAAATCACTGGGATAGGTGAAAAGATATTTCCATAAATGGTTTGAAAACAAATCTACCATTATACCAAGGATAGTTCATTTTTTTTCTCTTTTTATTCCAAAAACCTAGGCGAAATTTTTAGCATTTTCCTGTCTAATCATTTTCGACAGACTACATTATAAAGTTTCTCTTTACATATTCACTGATTAATTTGTGTACTGACTTACAGCCTCCCCAATTTCTTCCTAAATTGAAAAAAGTATATGCTTGGGGCCAGCAGGTGGCATGGTGGCTAAGGGTGCTGGACTCCCCACATGGCTGACCATGGTTTGAGTCCTGGACCTGATGAATTGCCTTCTCTCTCTCTCTTTCTCTCTCTCTCTGTCTTTCTCTGGTCAAATTAAAATAAATCAAAAATTTTTTTTCAAGTATGTGCTTAAAATAAAAGACAATATATATTTAGTGAAAAAGAATGTGAATAATATCTTTAAAACTAAAAATAAAAAAGATGACCTATGGTACCAGTACTATTAAAAATAAACATCTAAAATTATTATGATTGCAGGACCAGCAGTTGGCATAATGGTTATATTGCTGGACTCCCACATAGTTGACCGTGGTTCAAGTCCTGGACCTGGCAGCTTAAAACACATGTCAGGCATGTGTGTGTGTGTGCATGCCTAAGATCCCAAGAGGAGAATGGAAGAGAAGGAATTGCAGCATGGCGACCCCCCCCGGGGGGGGGGTCATTTCTCACTTTTTGTCTCTCTTTCTTTGTCTCTACGGAGAGCTCATGTCACCTATAGCAAAAACCTCTCTTTAAAAAATTACTATGATTGGGGACCAGCAGTTAGCATAATGGCTACGTCGCTGGACTCCCACGTAGTCAACCGCGGTTCGAGTCCCAGACCCGGCGGCTTAAACTCATGCCGGGGCGCATGTGCATGCGTGCCCAAGATCCTGAGAGGAGAATGGAGGAGAAGGGATTACGGTGTGGCCATCCCTCTGGGGGATGATTTCTCGCTTTCTGTCTCTCTGTCTCTGTCAGGCTGGCTGGGGAGCGCATGAGGCCTATAGCAAAAACCTCTGAAAAAAATCATTATGGTTGCTATTTGAGAATTATTTTACTTACTTTACACATAGACTTTTCAGAAAGAACTATATCTCAAATTTATGTACATAACAGTTTTGTAAATAGCAAGACAGACATCATTCATTGTCTTTCCCGCAATCTTAGGAAAAAGCATCCAGTCATTCACTATTATTAAGCATCAAGTTAGTTATAGGATTTTTCTTAATATTCTTTATCCTATAAGAATATTCCTTTCTATTACTAGTTGGCTGAGAGTTTTGTTCATGAATAGACATTGGGATTTTTTCAGATAATTTTCCTGTACTAACTGATAGTAACATACAGCTTTTCTTCTTTAGAATATTAAATTAGTGGATTATGTTGTATGATTTTCAAATATTAAAAGTCTTGTAGTCTTAGCATTAATATCAATTGTCATGGTGTATTACTGTTTTTATATTAACATATTGCTGTATTCAATTCACTATTATTTTGATTATTATTTTTTTTTAGAGATTTTTGCTACAGGGCACATAAGCTTGCCAGAGAGATAAAGAAAGATAGAGAGACAGAAAACAAGAAATCACCCCCCAGGGGGTACAGCCATGCCACAATCTCTTCTCTTCCATTCTCCTCTCAGGATCTTAGGCACGCACACATGTGAGCCCAGCATGAGTTTAAGCCACTGGGTCCAGGACTCGAACTGTGATCGAATACATGGGAGTCCAATGACATAGCCATTATGCCAACTTGCTAGTCCCCCGAGTATTTATTTTTTTAATCAGAGAGTTCTTGTGCTTGTGTGTGTGTGTGTGTGTGTGTGTGTGTGTGTGTGACAGAGAGAGAGAGAAAGAGAAAGAGAAAGCACCCTCCAATAGGGTATGGTCATGCCACAATTCCTTTTCCTCTGTTTAATCCCATCAGAATTTGGAGCATGCATGCACACACATGCCTGGAACCACCACATGGGGATGTGAATAGCAGTCAGGCATGTGGGATCTAGCTGCTTTAACTGTCATGCCATCTGCTGGCCCCAAGATCTATGAACTGAGTACAGATCTCATAGTTGCATCATTTCAAAAGAAATCCATTCTGATGATCTGTCTCTGTATTGGTATATTTTGACCATTTATGCTTAATGTAAATATTGGTATGTACAGATTGACGTCTATCCTTTTTTTTTTTTCCCATTTGTGCACTCTTTTCTTGTCTCTCTGCTTTTATTTGTCACTACACTTTTGGCCTCTCATTATTTCATCTAGTAAGTAGAAGTATTAGTAAAAACTTAGGATATTGAAAGTTAAAAAAAGTGATGTACTTACCAGGTTTGGTTTGGTAAGCTTATTTTAGGTAATTACATTATATGGATACTATTTCCCTAAAATATTCATTATTCATAAAGTAAAAAAAGAAAAAATACTCACAATAGCTTCACCTGGGTTACACATCTTTATCTGAAAAAAGTCATTCAAGAGCAAATCTATTGGCTTTTCTTTGTAGAACATTAAAGAAAAACGTACAAAGTCAAGTAAGTCCTTGGACCTAAGCAGCTTTCCTACAGATAAAAGGCAAATAAATACAAGTTACTCATATATCATTGTTCATTCCATTAACACAGGAAAAGAGGGGGGAAGAAACAGAATTCAAATATGGCCTATTCCTTAGAAGTAAATTGAAGCATTAATGAAGGTGGAGGATAACACTGTAAATATTGTAACTGCTTACATATTGAGTACCACTGGCTGAATCCATGGCCTGGTGGGGAAGGTAACCAGATCCCACATGGCTGACTGCATGTTTCAAGCTTAATAAACATGCTAGGCTTATGTGTGTATGTTCTCCAAACTCCAAATGGAAGGAGAAATGCAGAAGAGGGGATTGACCATGCAGTTGAACCTCGGAGTCGGCTATGGGGGACCCTCTGTGTACCTTAATCACCATGCCAACTGCTGGTCCACCATTTTTCTTATATACTTATGACTGTAAAATATTTATTCTATTTTAAAATATATTTGGTCCAATTTTAAAAAATATACTGCATTGTTAAGTATAAAATGAAGCTGGAGGGATAAGATTCAGGTAAATGTTCACCTTAAAGTAAATAATGCCAAATACATCCGACCATTTCATAAGTACAATAACAAGATGTGAGCGTAATTCTTTCCTCACTGGGACTTAGGTCTCCATTGGTTACTTAATCAAATACATTGTGGTGTTTCAGCACCTATTTGTTTAGTAATCAAAGCAAGTGATTTGATGATGGAAATATTCGATGTAATTCCTCACCTCCTGTTAGCATGGTATAAAATTGTATTTTGCGAGTTTATATTTTTAGTAAATAAAAACAGAACTGCTGTATGATAACAAAAGGCAAAACCTTTGTAAGTTTAAGCTTAAATCAGCCTGTGGGATTATATAAAGAGTGCTCATTTCATGTGCTCTTGCGATGGTCAGAATGTAAATATCCCCTCTGCATCTCACATCTGACTGTGCTGAGAAAGGCAAATTCTTTGAGAATTTTAAATTCTCAGAGTAGGGTAGCAGTAAAATGTCTCTCCAAGCTTCTCACCATCGATGAGTGTTACCTTTTAGGCTGTTGGAAAAGGCATCATGCAGTTTTCCATAGAAAAACATGACATGACTTTTCCGATGACCCAGATATCTTTTTTCTTTTTATTTTTAACCAAAGACCTTTGGAGCCTTGCAAATTGGGGCTTTGGGGAAAGAAAAGCTTTGAACAGATGAACTTTTATGGTCATCAGAGAAATGTGTTACACTCCTCAGAATGGAAACAAACAAACAAACAAGCAAACAAACAAAGCAGAAACAAAAAATAAATCATTTAAAAACTAAAAATTAAGGGATAAAAGGGTCAGCAAGTAGTGTAGTGGTTGAGGCGCTGCATTCCCACATGGTCAACTGTAGTTCGAGTCCTGGACATGGCAGCTTGCTTTATCGCTTTCTCTATGTCTCTCTCTGGTCAAATTAAAAATAATAATTATTATTATGAATAATATTAAATTGTAAAAACTCTTTAAAAATTAAAGATTGTGGGCATGGTTTTAGGAATTTTTCGGTTGTAACTATTATTGTTTATTATGATGTTTTTACATTTTTAAAGACTTTCAGCTTTGACATACTAGAAATTACAGGAACTTTTAGTACAAGAGTTTCGAGTTAAAATTTCTTTCTCTATAAATTTATTTCTTTGGGTTTCAATATTCATCTATGTCACATAGACAAGTATGAAGGGACTTCCAAAAGTTCATGAAAAAGGCATGTTAGGAAAAGGCTACTCATGAATATCCAAAAATCTTGGACCAAAATAAGAATGTCATTTTTGTATGAACTTTGAAGAGTCCCCCTGTATATCTGAGTCACCGAGCTAATGTGTGCTAGACTCATAGCATCCATTTAACAAGTGCCAGCTCCCTTTTCTTTTTATAACATACATGCACACCAATCTGGTTGTTTACTGATCTACCTAGGAAAAATGGTAGTTTATACTAAAACTCTCTGAAATTCAGGAACTTGAATATGATTTTACTATTAAAATAACAGTGAGATCAGCAGATGGCATAATGGCTATGTCACTGGACTCCCATGTAATCCACTGCAGTTTGAGTCCTGGACCTGGTGACTTAAACTCACCCCGGGCGTGTGTGCATGCGTGTCCAAGATCCTGAAAGGTGAATGGAAGAGAAGGGATTGCGGCGTGGCCATTCTCCTGGGGGGTGATTTCTCACTTTCTGACTCTCTGTCTCTCTGTCTCTCTCTCTGTCTTTCTGGAAAGCACATGCACCCTATAGCAAAAACCTCTCAAAAAAAAAAAAAAGTAGTATATGAGAGACAATGAGAGAGAAAGTAAGAAATCACTCCCAGGGGGATGGCCAGGCTGCCCCTTCTCCATTCTCCTCCTGGAATCTTGAGCACACAAGCATATGCACCCAGCATGAATTTCCAGTCACCAATGGCTCTGAGACTCAAACAGCAGTCAGCCATGTAGGAGTCTAGCACCACAGCCACTGTGCCACTGGATGGCCCTGTGACAAAGTTTTGACAAGTTTTAAAAAGTTTTTACAATTATTGTGTGCTTTTTAGCTTGATCCAGCAAAACGAATCTGTTGCTTACCTATGAATCCAAGCACTGAGAACTCAATATAAAACCAGTTACTTGAAGAAATATCATCCATGAAATTTTTTATTGTTGTAAAGTAATTCTTTTTAGCTATGACACCATCTTCTAGCTGAAAAATAAATAAAGCCCCAAATAGCATTAGTACCTTCAATGCTTCCACTGCACAAGTTATAGTAGCTTGAAAAATAGAAAATGCACTAGGAGACACTGGAAAAAAAAGTTTTTCTTAATGAAGTAATCGTTTTATTTTTAGTTCAATTCCCTGAGAGCATTTATAGTTCGTTGATTTTCAATTTATGATTCTGAGATTAACCAGATATTATCTGTTTCTTTCCTGAATACTAATCTTCAACATTCAATTCAAATCCTCTTGGAAAGAATCTATTTGAATCCATTTTCATCCTCACAACTACTTTAGTTTCTGGTTTACACAGTTTTTATCCATTTGAACTATTACAAGAACAGCAGCAACAACAAAGAAAACACAGACTGGGTGGTTTATAAACAATATCCATTTATTGCTCACAGTTCTGGAGGCTGGGAAGTCCAAGGTCAAGTCACCAGACGATGTGGTGTCTGCCGAAGGCTGTTACTCACGGATGGAGCCTTCTCACGACATCTTTACCCAGGTACGGAAGAGACTAGCTAACTCTCGGAGGCCTTGTCATAAGGGCACTAATCCAGTCACCTCCCAGAGATTTCACTTTGATGCATCACTTGGGAGTTAGGATTTGAATGCATTAATTTAGTGGGGCGGGGGTGGGGTGTATGTGTGCAAAAAATATTCAGCCTTAGCAAAGACTAACTAGTTTTATGCTCGAGACGCTGGGTACCATATCTATCTCCAGATACTGTGTCCGACAAAGCACCTTTTGGTAAAGAGATGACAACAGGGAATGGGGACACCCATCCACGATAGCCTGATTAGGCTGATGGTGCAGGTAAGTCAAAAAATAGTCCTCCATAAGGAAGAGGAGAACAAAGAAAAACATTATTTTTTTCTGTTTGAATATGTACTGTGGGTAACTTAAAGAGAAAAAGGGCTCCTAAACAGTTCAGAAAATGTGGACGTTCTCAGGCACATTTTCATGGAACAGAATTGTGGTGTTTCAAAATGGCAAAAGTACACTGTTGGGCCAGCCCCACACACTAGGGAAAGCAGAGCCCACATGGCCAACTGGAGTTAGAATCCTGACCCCAACAGTTCGAAAAACAAGTTACTGTGTATATGTGTACATGCCCCAAATCTCAAGAGGATGAAGAGGTGGAGGAGAAGGAATTGTGGGGTCACCATACCCTATAGGGGTATTAAAATTATAGACAGATTCCTCTCAAAACAAAACAAAACAAAACAAAACAAAATGGGGACCAGCAGATGGCATAATAGCTCCATTACTGGATTCTCATGTAGTCAACCGTGGTTCGAGTCCTGGATCCGGTGGCTTAAACTCATGCCGGGCACATGTGCGTATGTGCCCAAGATCCTGAGAGGAGACTGGAAGAGAAGGGATTGTAGTGGGGCCATCACTCTGGGGGGTGATTTCTCACTTTCTGTCTGTCTCTCTCTGTCTTTCTGGGGAGTGCACGATGCGTCTTATAGCAAAAACCTCTCCAAAAAAAAAAAAAAATTATAGACAGAGAGGAAGCCAGCAGGTAGTGTGGTGGTTAAGGCACTGGACTACCATGTGACCAACTGCAGTTCAAGTCCCTGACCTGATGGCTTGCTTTCTCACTTTCCCCCTCTCTCTTTCTGTCTCTCTCTGGTGAATACATGTGCCCTACAGCAAAAAATTTAAAATAATAATAATAAATAAAATTAAAATAAATCTTTAAAAAATTATAGGCAGAGAAATACAGGGGGTACCGTTTCTTTCTTTCTTTACAATTAGAAGTTTACTTTTCAGTTTGCTTCAGGGACCTGTAATCCTTCTGTTACAGCAAACCCAGCAAGAAGATCAATGTACAATGCATTTTCAGCTTTCTCCTAGCATTTTATATGATATTTTCTATTTTCAGGGTACAAAGTAAAGTGAAGAAACCCACGAGAAGGGGCTAAAGTAGAGAGAGAGAAAATAACACTGCTAATGTAAGTGACATGTACGCCGAGTTCTTACCTGTAAGTAATACCTCGCCTTGGGCTGCGCATACAGCATCAAAATGCAAAAATCCAATACTTGTTTGACTTGCCAACTAAAGAGAAGCACTGAAGTCTGTTAATATTCATGATTATTATTTACATTGTTTTCCATAAGCATACTTTGACAATTAAAAAAAAGTCTTTACAGTTTGCTAACGTAATACTAGCTACATTAAGGAAAACTGTATATGTTTATATTAACGATTATACTGAATTTTCCCCATGTTTATTCAATTGACAATGTATGCCATGGGTTATTAGGCTAAGCATAACCTATTTATTTTACATTTCATTTAGTTACATTTCAATCTAGGTAATGAAGTTAATATTCTTTGTGATTTTAGGTCAAATGATGGTAGTATGAGAAGAAACTTTATTCTAATTTAGTACTAAGCTAGATGGTAGGTCAGATTCTGAAGATGCACAGACCCATACACAATGCAGTTCTTGCCCTTCCAGGTCTCATAGTCTAGCATGAAAAAGACAAAAAAATAATAAAATAATAATACTTAGGTAAGTACTATGTGAAGACATTAATAGTGGTTTAAGTATCTCACAGTGAAACGGGGCAGGAGGAGCACAACAAGGCTGGGCATTCCATGAAGCCGAATGGTCTGGCAAAGGCCGTCTTAGCTTTAGGGCACAGCCGTGCATGGAAAAGACGCTGACGACGGTAGGGCTGGCAGAGACCCGCTCATGAAGGCTCTTTTACGACAAGTGGGAAGTTTTGGCCTGGATCTCCCAAGAGTAAAGATTTTTCTATCACATGGAGAACAGATTGGAGGAGAGGAGAGGCTAGGTGAGGCTAGGATTAGGGAAAGCAAAACATCTCTCAGGGTCTGAACTAAGTCCAAAGCAGTGGGAGGGCAGGGATGATGTGGAGAGAGATTTTAAAGGGAAAGGACAGAGATCTGAAAGGTTAAAGGGAAAACTAGGGTCTGGATGACTCCCAGCTTTCTGACTCTAAATTTGCACATAACGTAGTTCAGTAATTAAAAGCAAAACGGGGGCCAGAAGGTAGCTTGGCAGTTAAGGCACTAGACTCTCACGGAGCTGACCACAGTTCGAGTCCCTGACCTGGCAGCTTGTTTTCTCTTTCTCTCTCTCATAGTGCACGTGCCCGATGCAAATTAAAAAAAAATAAAAATAATAAATAATACTAAAGTAAATAATTATTTTGAAAAAACAAAAGCAAAACAAAACTTACAGGTTTATATATTCTGACGTACCACTTATCATTTTAAAGCAAATAAATCGAGCAAGTTTTCTGGTTAAGACCTTGTTCTGAGTTCTGACGTGCCTTTCCTAAGTTTTGAGAAACTAAAATATTCATTTCTTATCATGTCTACCAAACTTATTACCAAAAAATCATAATTCATTGCAGGTTCATAGTTTCTAATTTTTGAATGTTTTTTCATAAATATTTTCATAGTTTATTCTCATAATGACTTTGAAATATATTGATATAATGTAGATCTGTACCTACTGGAAATGTAGTAAAAGCTAGGGGGGGAAGAAAAGGTTCCATGACCTGAATAGGGGGATCAGCAAAGAGAAAAGCTGGGACTAGAACCCAAGAGTAATGATTTATGATCCCGCTCTCCCATCCCCCTTTCTCCTTCTCACCTCGTTAGACCTTAGCTAATTACTGTCTATGAACCTGAACACAGGTCACCAGTGGTACGGTGGTAAACGTTTAATAGCTGGGGGTGGCGAGCTCTAACGTGTAGTTTCTGCTCCTTTCCATGGAGTAAATACCATGGCTGACTTCATGCCGCCAATTTATTGTCACTGAACATACAGTTGGAGAGTGACGCGCATCACCAGCCAGTAGGAGCGAGGTCTACCACACATCTGTGTCTGAAACAGTAACCACAGGATGCTGATTCCATGATTTCATCAGCTGAAGTTAGTTAACTTCGGGATATGATTCTCTTTTATTTTTAAAGAATGTTTCTTCCCCCCCCCCTTTATTTTTTAATTTGACCAGAGGGGGACAGAATGAGAGAGAGAGAGAGAGAGAGAGAGAGAGAAAGAGAGAGAGAGAAAGTGAGAAAGCAAGCCGCCAGGTCTGGGACTCGAACCACGGTCAGCCATGTGGGGGTCCAGCATCCCTAACCACCGCGTCACCTGCCGGCCCCAAGTATATTATTTTCTAACATGTCATACCTCTCTAGGTTTTGTGAGTTCTCAGTTGATTTTTTGACATATGATGTGTTTGGGTAAAAAAAGGCAGGTATTGAAATGATTTCTAAAGATCCAGACATCACTTGCATTTTGAATCTATGAATAAAAATAAATGGAGGCTTAGAACAGAACATATGACTTACCAAAAATAACATAAATACCTTAAAATAATTTCCTTTCGTATGCTCACATAATATTTTGATTTAAATTATTTCGTGTCAATACATACATGATAACAACATAATAAAATCAATACTTTTCTGAAAAAAGCATTTCTTTTATAAATTAATGACATATCAAAAAAATAAAATGTGCAATATAAAATTAAATTATCCTTATAAAAATGATAGGCACTTTGAAATTTTTTTTGAGAGAGATTTTTGCTATGGAGTGCATGTGCTCACCAAAGAGACAGAAAGCAAGACATCACTCCCTGGGAGGGTGACCATGCCACAATCCCTTCTCCTCCAGTCTCCTCTTAGAATTTTGGGCATGCTTGCATACATGCCAGTGTGAATTTCAAGCCGCTGGGTCCAGGACTCAAAGTGCAGTTGATCATGTGGGAGTCCCGTACCTTAACCACTATGCCCCCTGTTGGTCTCTTGATTTTTTTTTTTTTTTTGTTTACAATCTGTGTGCACCCTGACATTTGAAACAATGGAAATATAGCTTATGATAACAGAGTAACTGCACGGAAGAAAAATTAGATTTTCTTCATGCATAATTTGGAATTTAAAATAAGTCTTACTAAACAGCGAGTAAAGACTAGTCTGACTCTTGTCTACACCTCATGGAAGGACTATGCACAGCTTTTAGCATCTTTATTTTTAAATAAACATGCTAAAGTCAAATTGACAAATGAACAAGGACACAATAAAATACACAGAACACTGCTCCCAAAGACTAGGATATGACTCTCTCTCCCTCTTTCGTGGTCGTGGAAGAAATAAAGAAATAAACTTTTTAAAAAGGGAAGTGGGGAACAGCAGATGGGGTAATGGTTATGTTGCTGGGCCACCGACTTGACTGTGGTTTGAGTCGTGGATCCAGAGACTTAAAACTCACATCGGGCACATATGCATGTGTGCCCAAGATCCCGAGGAGAATGGAGAAGAAGGGCATGGCATGGTCATGCCCCCTGGGCGATGTTTTCTTGCTTTCTGTCTCTCTGGTGAGTGCACGTGCCCTATGCCAAAAATCTAACAAACAAACAAAAAAAGGAAGTGGCTGACAGATGCACACTGGGAGTGAACCCAGACGAGATTCCTAATATAACAGCACAGGGACAGTGCTGCCTCCTCTGTGTGAACTTAGTGAAGGGGAACTTACATGACAGAAATACTTGTGGTGAAAAGTCTGCCATATATGTAGTAAGTGGCATTGCTCAGAAACTTCACACTCAAGGAATTCTTAGGGCTGACCCCAATGTCTGGTGGCTAAGGGAGCTGGATCCCACATGGCTGATTCTGTGATTCAAATCCCAGGCTCGGTGGCTTGAAAACCACACCAGACACATGTGTGTGCATGCCCAAGTTATCGACAGGATGGAGAAATGGATGTGAAGGGATTGCAACATGAACACACCCATTTGGGGTGTGCTTTCTCCCTCTTTCTCTGTTTCTTTTTTGGTGAGTGCACATGCCCTCTGGCACAAATAAAAATAAAATAAAATAGGAAGCAGTG